ACTGTTACATTCAATACTCTATTCTTCCATATACCGAGCTTCAGTGATTATCATTTATTCACTCTGTAAGAGAGTTTGTATCTTTATCATTAATCACATCTTGTGTGAAACTCAAGAGTGTGGACTCTTGAGTGGGTTTGTAACCTTACGGGTAGTAAGGGGGAGTGATTGAGAGTATCAATTACTGTACTGCGGCACCAAGAGCCCGATCAATCTTGGAACATAGTGGAATACTCAGAGGTGTTTTGAGGACTGGACGTAGGTCAAGTGGTTGAGACCGAACCAGTATAAATTCTGTGTCCATTTTTCTATGGTAAAATCTCTCTAACTCACACTCTCTGTTTCCGTTAGTTTATTGTTTTAATTTCACAAAATTTTTATAACTCACCTAATTCACCCCCTTCTTGGGTGAGTCTGCAACTAACAAAATGGACTCTAAGGTATAATAGAAGTAAGGTGTAACACGTAATGCTTCCAAATGCATACTCTGAAGGGCTAAAGGAAGGATGTTTCATAAGGTATGCTTCATTGCATTTAGTTAGCTTAGGTCATCAATAAAGGCTCCCAAAAGTGAACACGACCTGGATTGCACTGCTATACTGCATCTCTTGGATTCGGTTATAAATTTCTTGCATTTGACCCCAATGCGTAATGACATGGTCAAATCAGACCTCTAATATGAAAAATGCATAGTAAATAGTAGTTCCGTAAATCAACATCCTAGTTATCTTTTTATGAGCTTAAGGCCAGCCAAAGTGGTCAGAAATGGTTCTAAATGGACTCTAAGGTATAATAGAAGTAAGGTGTAACACGTAACGCTTCCAAATGTATACTTTGAAGGGCTAAAAGAAGGATATTTCATAAGGCATGCTTCATTCTCCTCTCCAGCCGATGTGACACTTCACACAATTCATATGATGATGCATTGTTTAGCTTTATTGAATTAGGTGATATAGTATAGCCTTGTCAGAAGGATTTTTGAGCCTAAACATTCAATTATAGTGTGATTTTCACTTGTTTCAACATGCTCTTCAAAGCTTGTTCTAGTTCTTTTCACTGCTACCTCACTCATGTGCAAATCTTAATATGATTAAGGTATTCATTTTATTAGCTAGTCAGATCAAATAACCTACCCTTTAATGAATATATCCTTTGTCATCCCTTTAAGCTTGTTGGTCTTTTATTTGATTATTTATTATATACCCTTTTTTACAGGAATGCATAATTTAATTTAACCCACCCTTCTTGGAGCATTATCACTAAGAAATTTTCGTTGTGCAGTATTGTATCTTCATGATCGCATATATACTTGTATAGTTAGGGTGTAAGGAGGTTAAAGAGAAAGAAACAGAAAGAAAGATTTGGGGGGGGGAAAAAAGGGTCTTACACCCTATTTGCTTGATAAAAAGATCACATATCATTGAATACTACACACATTTTTCTACTCCAAATTGATTTACATTAATCATACCCATCCATTCTATGCATTCTTGAGAACTTGCATCCACACCTTGTACAATACAAGCCTCAAAGGCCTCTTTATTTTAGAGTGCATATGTAATTTGGTGGTAGAGAATTAGAATTATTACAAGCCTATAGTAGAGCAACTGAATAAGCAAACTGAGTGAAGAATAACCCCATGCTAGTGAGCTGAGTGATACACTTTATACCCCTTTGTGGCTATCTCTCTTGAATTCAATCTTGCCAAGTTCTATATCTTAATATGGATTTCTTTACATATGATTGATGACTTGGATTGCACACTTGGTCCCTAGGTTGTATTTATTTTAGTTTTTGCAATTTTTTATTAAATTCAATTTGTCTATTTATTTTCAAGAGGATTGCAAAAGTTTAAGTGTGGGGGAAGTTGATAAATGCAAATTTTATAATTAAATAGATACAGATTTTAGGTTATATTAGACTGAATTTATAGATATTTTATATCTATTTAATTTATTTTATATATTCTCTTTCTAGATCTAAATATAAAGATATAAATATATTTTTCAACAAAATCTTCTTATGTCATTCATATTTTTGCAGAAAATATAAAATAAAATAAGAGATTTTAAAGGATGGGATCTTAACTGTAATTATATTCAATGCAAAACACAGAGATTTGGGGTCATTAGCTGTGATTGTCCCCGAAGTACAAGAAGGAAGCCACATGTGACAGACGCGGCGCGGATGCTGGAGATGAGATTTGGGTCCTTAAGCGAAATATTCTCTGCAAGAGAGCAGGGCTCTTAATCATAATTTATTCTAAAATTCAGTGACAGGATTTAAACTCATGTAATACATATTTTTATCTTTTAAGAGTCTTAAAGGACCAGAAAAACTTCAAATATAAATAAAAGCCTCAGGAACTACTCTAAGACATCCAATCACAACTTGGAGCTATCAAGAGTAAGAAGTTCTCAAAGTATTGAAGTTGAGTCAAATTCTTATATTAATTTCCTTAATTTCTTGTGATTGTTCATCATGGTTGGGAATTTTAGAATGATAATATTTTTGAATATCTTTATGTTTCTCTAAATTCACAATTGGGGAAAGGATGTAGCCCACCGGGAAAGTTAGTTTCTTTTGTTTTTTTTTTTTTAACTCTTTTCTGAATTTCTTTTTATGAATATATTTTAGTTTTTTCAATTATATCTACTTCTTTTGTTCTTCATGTTGATTTTATAATTGATTACCATTGAATCAAATTTATGGCTAATCTTAATGGACCGAGAGGTGAAGAGAGAACATAGATATAGAAAAATAGACATAAATATTTAGACTATACAATTCTAGATATTTATTATGGTCATGACTCTAGAATACTCTAGGATTCATTACTACATCGATTCTACGCACTTGCGGAGTGACCACATGTTCTCGAAACTCAAAATTAATTTGAACATTGCAATAGACTTGCGGTAATAAAATTTCTTATTTGGACCTGAATGTAATTTTTCTAATTTTTAATTCGGAACCACCAAAAGAATCTGAAAATAATTAAAACTCGTTAGAGACTGATCCCATGGACCCATATGGGTCATAATTTACGCCCCCCCCCCCCTCCCTCTTCCCTCGTTTTTTGGGGTTATCCAACGGGGGTGCGCGTGTCTTTCACACACGCGTGAGCGAGGCTGGCCTGCGTGGTACCTTAATTCAATGAGCTGAATTTTATTCATGCATCACTAAGCCCTTTTTAATTTGCGAGTGAAATACCTCAAGCATTTAAAACAATACTTTGGAGTTTTCATTGGAGCATATAAAATAGAACTGTAGTATTTATGCGATGTAGTTAAATCATAAAAAATTAAAATTAAGCTAAAGTATACTTTTAGTCTTTTAATTTTATACAAGCTTTTATTTTGGTTTCTTGACTTTAAAAAGTAAACTTTTTAAAATTAGTTGATTATTGTTTTAAAGCTATCCTATATTTCCACAAATGTCCATGATTAAACGTGGCTTCTTGATATTCTCTTTCAATCTCGCTCGCCATTAGAATTGCTCAACAATATCCATACACTAAATAAAATAACATGGGTAGTTGTGATTGGTCTGTTAATGTAGACCCACTAGGCGACTTGCCTCAAGACCCCGAAAAGTTACATTTCGAGTTGGCATCAAAGTTCAAAGGAGATAAATAAAATAACCTAATTTAATTAAAATATGTAAAGTTATTTATATTTGACTATAAAAAATAATATTTTATTTTATTGTCCTTTTTCCCTCTTTTTATTTTGTTGACCAATTAACTAATGAGGTTGACACGCTTTATGTTTATTTTGTTGTAACCCAAATTGATACTGCTATAGTTTAAAAGGAAATCAAGATGCTTCAAGTTATAATCAAAATCATAAACATAAAATTTTTAATATAATTGAATGGTACATGAGTGTGAAAAACAAAATGAACCCCAATCATGTTGCCAAGACACTTTTATAGTACTCCTCGTTTGATATACGTCTATATTAGCATATCTTGCGAGTAAACTGAAATTTAAACCTTTATAATTAATTCGATGATAAAAATAAAAGAAAAAGTTTATAAATTGACGTTTTGAAGTACAAAATATTGTTCCCACATGCATCACGTTATTCATATTCTTTAGATGGATTCAAGAAATATCCGTACGTTACGTTACATTGAAACGCGTTTGACTCATACATACGTGGAAACTTCTCTCTTTTGGTTGGCTATAAATGCAAGTCTAGTTCACTTCCCTAGCTACTTCAAAGCTTCAGGAACTCAAGTCTTAACCCTATACATAGTCACAGAAATCGCGAAGAAGAGAAATACACACAAAAACTTCTCCAACATGACCTTCACAAAAGAGATTATGGGTCAACCTATGGTGGAAGCATTTCGTTTTGATGCTTCCAAAGGGCCATTTCACTTGAAACGCTGCTGCAGGAAGCATAGAATTTACTTGTCTCCCACTTTCTATTGCTCAGTTCAAACAACAAAGGAACAGAAGAAGAAGTTGATGCAACAAACTGTCCTGCCACTCTCAACTTTTACTCAGGATTCTGAGTCCAGGAGAGACCTTAGTGCTTGGAAGCCGGCATCGGAGACGGCGAATGTGACGGTAACCGCCGCAGTAAATATCAAGAATAGTAAAAATGTAGAGAATGAGATGATGTCCATGATGCTTCAGCATTTTGAATCTTTCCGCAAAAACATGTCTGAGAAGGGCATGGTTATGCAGTTAATGAGTACTGAAATAGACCCAAGTAAGTTTTTCTTTCTTTGTTTAATTCAATTATCTCTTATTAGTAATTACAAATCATCTTAATATTAGTTCTAATTTCTTAATTTTTACTGTGTGAAAATGAAGGAACGATGGAGCCAAAGGTGAGCAGAAACGCCGTACTGAAGTGGATGAGGGACGTGAAGGTGGGGGCTCCCAGGACCACTTATAGAGTAGAATTTGATATAGATCCAGATTTTGGGTTACCAGGAGCAATCACTGTGGTAAACAAATATGAAAAAGAATTCTTTTTGGAAAACATTGTGATTGAAGGCATTCTTCATTTTCCCTGCAATTCCTGGATTCAACCTGAGAAACTTCATCCAGAGAAGAGAATTTTCTTCATTAACAAGGTAATATATAAGTGCACGTTGTAATATGATGTTCTAATTTCTTTCTTGCTATATATCAACTTGAGACTTATGGGTTGATCTTGCATCTTTTAAACAGGCTCATTTACCTTGGGAGACTCCGGTGGGTCTAAGAGAGCTAAGAAAACAAGAGCTAAGGCAGGCAAGGGGAGATGGAAAAGGAATAAGAAAGCATGGTGATAGGATTTATGACTATGATGTGTACAATGATTTGGGGAATCCAGACAAACAGGACAAGACTCAAGGCCTATATTTGGTGGCCATCATCAATTCCCTTATCCTAGGCGATGCCGAACTGGTCGTACTCCATGTGTTTATGGTGAGTACTCAATCCTAACCCTGGCTTCAATGCTTTTCATGATTTAATTATGAAAAATAAAGTTTCCCTCTAACCATACCAGTAATTACAGTGTTGGTTTTTTCAGAATGCTCGTTTTAATTATTTGTATTAAAACTATCTTGGTAAAAACCCTTTTTGATATGTGTAATCGACAAGGATATTATGAATTTAGGAGACAAAGTGAATTAGAGTTTTACATTAAATTAGAATCAAAGTAAACTTCCTAATTAATTCTTATATGTAAGACCAAAGAGAGGACAGGTTTTTTGTTATGATTTATGTTTATATTGATGGTTGCAAAATAAAATTTTATTGATAATTTCTTATCATTTATTTGGGACGTCATGAATAAAACAGACCAGAAAGCTGAGACATCGGTAAATGCATCCAATGAAACATATGTGCCTAGAGATGAAGTATTTGATGGCATTAGAATGGAAGCTCTCGATGTGGAAAGGACAAAAGGAATAACTCGCAATCTTCTCCCTTTCTTCAAAACTTGTGTCACAAAATGTGGAGATTTCAAACAAATTTCAGATGTTACAAACATTTACAATGGAAAGACATGGCATGAATCGAAGTGTGAAGGTGTGAGCAATAAGATCCAAGCTCGTTTGGATGATTACTTCAAATTTAGTACCCCAAACATTATCAGAGGTATGTATTGTTATTTCTGTATATTTAATTCTATAAATTTTACTTCATACTAGACTTTTGAATTGTCTTATGTCTTAATTTAGTACGCAATTATCAATAATTGCAGGAAACAACAGTGGCTTTTGTATAAGAGATGAGGAACTTGGCCGTCAGACATTGGCTGGAATGAACCCATTAAGCATAAAAAGGCTTGAAGTGAGTAGAATAGTCTAAAGAATTTTTTTATCTAGTTAAAAAAACGTCAAAAACAACAGAGTAATTAAAAATGTATCCTAACTTCTTACCTCTAAAATTTTGTAGACCTTTCCTCCAAAGAGCGATTTGGATCCATCCATATATGGTCCTCAAGAGTCTGCTCTCAAAGACGAACATATTTTACCTCAACTCCATGGAATGTCAGTAGAAGAGGTATCATTTTTTCCCCTGAAAATTCCTTTTTTATAAAAATTAGGTTCAGAAAACTTACAATTGAATGTGTGGAATTCTTAACAAGCAACTGTAATTACTTTTTCTTCTTATTATTTTGTCAGACATTCGATCTAAATATCGTTTTATTTTTCTTTTCTATAGGCATTGGAAGAGAAAAAGTTATTCGTATTGGATTTTCATGATGCTTATATTCCATTTCTCAAAGGCATAAATGCCCAAGAAGATCGGAACGCTTATGCCACCCGAACCATATTCTTCTTGACACGACTAGGAACTTTAAAGCCTATAGCAATTGAACTTAGTCTTCCACACGGATATCCAAATCGTTTTTCTAAACAAGTCCTCACCCCTCCAGAGGATTCCGACTCTTATTGGTTATGGCAACTTGGCAAAGCACACGTTTGCTCTAACGATTCCGGTGTCCACCAACTTGTCCAACACTGGTAAGTAATCCTATAAACCTATTCTTCCTTGAGATATTTAAGGTTCAAACTAATGAATGAATCAAATTTTAATGGGTAATTAAACTTTGGAATCATCTTGGAACATACAGGTTGAGGACACATGCATGTATGGAACCTTTTATTATAGCAGCTCATAGGCAACTGAGTACGATGCACCCAATTTTCAAACTTCTAAAGCCTCATATGAAAGGCACCTTGCAAATAAATGCCTTAGCTCGTGACGCTCTCATCAATTCGGGAGGCATTATTGAATCTGATTTCTCTTGTGGTAAATACTGCAACCACATTGTTTCTGCTGCCTACAAAGATTGGTGGCGATTTGACATGGAAGCCCTTCCTAAAGATCTTATCAGAAGGTTTGAATTTTAATATCACATTTAATTTCTTAATCGCAATTTGTAATGTTATGCTAAACAAAAAGATTAACTAAATGAACTGTTCATCATGTAGAGGATTAGCTGAACCTGATCAGACCAAACCCTATGGACTGAAATTGCTCGTTGAAGACTATCCTTACGCAAATGATGGCCTTCCTATTTGGTTTGCAATAGAGAATTGGGTTAGGACCTATGTGACCTACTATTATCGTGACGGGCTCATGGTTCAATCAGATAATGAGCTTCAGGCTTGGTATGGTGAGGTCGTAAATTTGGGCCATGCTGATCATAGAAATGCAAATTGGTGGCCTAAACTCACAACTCCTAGCGACCTCATTTTTATTCTCACAACTTGATTTGGATTGCATCAGTTCAACATTCTGCAGTGAACTTTGGGCAGTACCCTTATGGAGGGTACGTCCCAATGCGTCCTCCACTGATGAAAAAGTTGTTGCCTAAAGAAGATGACCAAGAGTACAAAGAGTTCATGAAGGACCCACAAGGGTACCTTTTGAGCTCAATGCCTGACTTGTTTCAGACCACAAAGTTTTTGGCTGTGGTCAATATTCTTTCACAACATTCCGCAGAGGAAGAGTATTTGGGAGAAAGGAAGGATCTTTCAGATTGTTCTAGCGACCCTGAAATCATAGAGGCCTTCTATAGGTTCTCAGTGGAATTAAAAAGAATAGAAAAGGAGATTGAGAAGAGAAATAAAGACCCAAATTTGAGAAATAGATGTGGGGCTGGAATTCCACCATATGAGTTGCTCATGGCTAGTTCTGGTCCCGGAGTCACTTGCAGAGGAGTGGCTAATAGTATAAGCATATAAACATAAAATAGTTTGAAGAATTTACTTAGGAAAATGTTTTTTTATTTGTCCTCAACTTGGTCAATTACAAGTTTACAGTTTGGTTAGGAAAGTAGCCAAGCTTTATGTCTATTTAAGCAATTGAAATTAGGCATGTGTACATGACATGCCTGTAAAGGAAAGAATGACGAATAGCGTCTTTGAGACACTATTATATTGTTGTATACTGTCATAAACGGTAAATGAAATCATATATTGTTTCAATTTTTGTGGTTCAATTTGAAGCTAAATGCAATATCTAAATACACCATAATTTTATTGACAAAAGTTTTGTGAATCATCAAAATCAATTTATTCATTCAAAGAATTGAATCTATCTAAATCTCAAAAGCGATGGATTAAGTTACTCAAGTAAAAGTAAAAAAAAAATCTATAAGTTGAATAGTCAGTTCTTCAATCACATATGAAATTATGAACGGAGAGGGGAAAAAAACTAACAGAATAAAATAAAAGTTCGCACGACTAGATTGCAAGGAATTATTTAGTAATTTTAGGTCTTTTTAGTATAATTAAGCAAAGTTAAGGAAAAGTGGTGATAGAGATTATTAATTATGAAATTTTTAGGAAAAAAATGGTCCTCATTATTAGAAGAGAAAAATAAGGCCAAAAAAGGAGAAATTTTAAAAGACTAGTGGGCTTTCCAACAACTTTCTCTTGCTTCACAAGCTTCATTGATGGTATAAACAACGCAAAACCTAGTGATGAGTTTATCGGTCTAAGTTGAATTAATATTCACTAAATTTCAGGACACTTTCACTGTTAAATCTCCCAAATGCACAAAACTCAAAACTCAAATATTCCTTAACATTTAAACAATTCCTACTTAAAATGCAATGATGACTCGTGAAATACCTCCTAAAAATATCTCAAATACCTGTATTAAGGAGTCATCAGTGATTTTTTGGAAAGAATTATATTGTCTCAAGTATATAAATAAATTGAGGGGTTAATATCATCTTTAGTCCCTCAAATTTGTCCTCATTTTAATTTTGATTGCTTAAGTTTCAAATCTTAGGTCTTGGTCTCTCAAGGGGAAATGATCCAGATTTTTATTAAATTATAGGGTCCAATGTTTTAAATGAAAATAAACTTGATGGACAAAAACCTATAATTTGAAACTTAAGGGAGTAAAACCAAAATGAGAGCAAATTTAATGACAAATAATTATATTAACACATAAATGGAAAATTTGAAGATATCTTGATTAAGCTAAAATAACTATTTTTACATAACTAGTTGTTTATATATTTTTCCATGTAATATCGTGCAGGAACAATAAATGAAACCTGCCCATGTGGGAAGTGAGAAAATGACAAACCTCTTATTGAGCGAGTTGAATTCTTATCAGCAACGTAACGATGCATGTGCGAACGGCTAACAAGTAAATGATAGCGACAAAACAATGCAATAAAAGCTCAAAAATATTTGTCAACTCAACGTTTTCTATAAATTAAACATTGAAAATAGCCAGAACTTACATCTTTGCGCGCGTGTGTGTGTATAGATATACACACACACATATGTAGGCAAAGAAATGGTCAGTGTATTTGGATCGAACCTAGCGATATATGAAGGAAATGGCTTGATATAATGATATATTCATGTTAAGATTGGATGGTATAGAGTTGATTTGATTTTATTATTATATTTTCATTATTTCTATTTCAACAATACAAAATGGAAGCAAAAGAATCTTTCAATTTTTACTTTTTTGAAATATATATTACATGAAAATTATATTTTAAAAACTGGGAATTTGGAAAATCTAATGAAATTAATTTTGGACCGTTTAGATATTATCACAATGATCCGAAACCAAGCCCCCACTTATATATGAATCACATGAAGAAACTAATTTTGTATTATTAGAGCGAATTGTCACTAGGGACTG